CCACCAGCTGGCGTGTAGTAGACGTGTGAGGTCGTTTGTTTACTCTTGAATATCGACAAAAATTTAACATTTCTGCTACTTTGAGCTCAGTTTCAAGCCATTTCTAGTGCTAAAACCAATCAAAATCATCTCTATTTCTGTAATATGTCTTCCATTCTATCAAATGAGACCAAGAAATCGCAAATACAACTATAAAAAACATACGAAAAAACACTGCAAAGTCGCTGTTTTAATCGAAAAATCATGATTTCAGTTTTTTCTCTCATTATACACAGTGTGCTGCAGGATCTATTTTATGTGGTGCACACATACCACATAGATGTATTCTCTCATATCTAGGCCCAAATGTACCACTCACAGTTTATCAGAGTGAGCTGAGCTCATGACGTAGATCTACGGTTTGGACCCTGAACGTAAAGCCGTAGATCTACGGGACGGACCCTGAAAGGGTTAATAGTTTAAGAGAGTAGAGTGATACTACAAAATTATACATTACAAAGTCACTAAAATATTAAACCTCCATCTAAGATATTCTTTGTAAGTTTGAAATCAATCTGACAAAGCATTCTCCAATTACACAAAAATTTTGAATTGTGAATTTTGAATTTTTATATACAGTGGACCCCGCCCAATGGCAGCATCAAGTAACGGCAAATTCATCTAACAGCGCTCTTTGGCATAAAAAAAATGGCTCTACCAACGGCGAAAAACTCTTCTAACGGCGTTCGTCCAGAACGTGTCCATGCAGCGGGAGCATGGGCTGAGTGGGCCCAGCCACTCCAAGACTCAGTGTGCCATTGTTTACAAGCTGATGCTATCGATTTTTGTGCTTGTAACTGCTAAATAAGCCACCATGGGCCCCAAGAAAGCTTCTAGTGCCAAGCCTTTGTTAAGGGTGAGAATTACGATGGAAATGAAGAAAGAGATAATTGAAAAATACAAAAGTGGAGTGCGTATGTCCGAGTTGGAAAGGCTATTCAACAAATCACATTCAACCATCAGTACTATCTTGGCAAGCAGAAAGGCAATCAAGAAAGCTGTTGTTGCAAAAGGTGCAAGTATGTTTTCAAAATGGAGACCGCAAATAATTGAAGAGGTAGAGACTGTTATTGGTATGGACAAACGAAAAACAATTATAAGGAGATAGTGTTTCTCAGTCTATAATTTGTGAAAAGGCAAGGCAGTTGCATGATGATCTCATTATGAAAATGCCTCCAAATAGTGATGATATTGATGAATTTAAGGCCAGCAAAGGCTGGCTTGAGAGATTTAAGAATCATAGTGGCATACACGGTAAGGCATGGTGAGGCCGGCAGTTCAGAAAAAAAAAGTGGCTGAAAAATATGTGAAGGACTTTAAGGAATACGTAGAGACTGAAAACTTAAAACCTGAACAAGTATTTAATTGTGACGAAACAGGCCTGTTTTGGAAGAAAATGCCAAACAGGACCTACATTACTCAGGAGGAAAAGGCACTCCCAGGACATAAGCCTATGAAAGACAGGCTGACATTGATATTGTGTAGTAATGCTAGTGGTGATTGCAAAGTGAAGCCTTTATTGGTGCATCACTCTGAAACTCCCAGAGTGTTCAGGAAAAACAATATCATCAAGGGTAATTTGTGTGTGCTGTGGAGATCAAACAGTAAGGCATGGGTCACTGGGGAACTTTTCTTGAACTGGTTATATGGTGTGTTTGGCCCCACTGTGACAAAAGAACAAAATACCTCCAGGAAAAGAAATTGTCACTCAGTGCCACCTGGTAATGGACAATGCTCTTGCTCATCCTCACGATTTGCAAGAGGAAATTGCAGGGGAGTTTGGTTTCGTTAAAGTGAAGTTTTTGCCTCCTAATACAAGTCCTCTCCTCCAGCCCATGGACCAGCAGGTCATTTCAATCTTCAAAAAACTCTACACAAAAGCAGTGTTTCAAAAGTGCTTTGAAGTGACCTCAGACACTCAATTGACCCTAAGAGAGTTTTGGAAAGATCACTTCAATATCCTCAGTTGCATAAACCTTATAGGTAAGGCTTGGGAGGGAGTGACTTGCAGGACTTTGAACTAAGCTTGGAGGAAACAATGTGTACGAGAGGGATTTTTAAGGGTTTGGGGCTAACCCTCAGGAGCCTATGCCAGTAGTGGAAGCTATTGTGTCATTAAAGAAGTCCTTGGGGTTGGAAGTCTGTGGCGAGGATGTGGAAGAGTTGGTGCAGAACGAAGAGGAAGAACTAACCACTGCAGACCTGCAAGAGCTTCAGGTGCAACAGCAACATATCACATCTCAGGAATGTACTTCAGAGCAGGAGGAAGAGAGATGGAGGAAGATGACTTCGTTAAGGATTAGGGAAATGTGTACAAAATTACAAAGGTGCAAGCATTTATGGATGAATTTTATCGTGTCACAGAAGTTGCAAGCCGTATTGGCAACATGTACAATGACACTCGTGTCCCATTTTAGGGAAATCCTAAGGGCACGTGAGAAACAGAGCTCTCTGGATAGATATTTTGTCCGACAGGGGTCCAGTGACTCCCAAGCTGGTCCTAGTGGCATTGACCCTTAAACTGTCCAAGCAGATCTACGTTCACATGCGTAGTGCTCCAAAAGTAGATCTACGTTTCTTTTACATATTTTCAAATATAACAAAAAAAAAAAAATGTAGATCCGAGTTTTTTTACACATTTTCAAATGTAAAAAAAAAAATCTACTTTTTTTATACTTTCAAATGTTGAAAAGACGTAGATCTACGTTTGGACAGTTTAAGGGTTAAAAAACCAAGAAGGGAGGTAACCCCACCAAAGGACTTAGTACCTCAAGTCTTTATGGAAAGGGACTCCCCTTCCAAACAATAAAACACCTGCATCATCTACCCTCCTAATGTCTCATCACTCATCAACAACTCCACAGTAAAGGTAAGTGGCATTTAATTGTTTATTTTGCATGTCCCAGTCGTTTTTGTGTAGGGAAATGTATATTTCATGTAGAAAAAATATTTTGTTTAATACTTTTGGGTGTCTGGAGCGGATTAATTCTATTTCCATTAATTCTTACGGGGAAAATTAATTCAACTAACGGCAAATTCGACTAACGGCTAGCTCTCTGGAACGGATTAATGCCGTTGGTCAAGGGTCCACTGTACTGGCAATTTTTCACCTACACAGTATAAAATTATAGGGGTATCATCCTTCTTATCAAATGCATCAGGATTAATGGTTGGAAGCTGATCTGAAAAAGTATTCTTTAGTATGAATGGAAATCAATATCCCAGCTCAATAAGACTGGCAAATTGGGATGGAAATAAATGGTATAAATACCGACACAATGGAAAAATAAACACATAAGCAGTATAATGTGATACTTTACTGACAACGTTTCGCTCACACAATGGACAAAACGTCGTCAATAAAGGATTACGTTACACTGTGTATGTGTTTATTTCTTCATTGGCAAATTGGGACATATCCAACCCAATAATAAGGAAAATCTTGCATTCAGAAAAACATACCAGTACTAGATGTGTAAAGCCAACTAGAAAAGGCATGTGCTAAATAATGTGTAATGCCAACAAGTGGTAAAAGAGAAACTTATTATACTGAAATCTCTATTGATAGTGGACAACTTTTCACCCATGAGTGGCCTTTGTCAAGTACATTTATGTACTAGTCTTTATTAATACTGGACAACATTTCACCCAGGAGTGGCCTTTATCAAGTACATGTATTTGATAAAGCATACTCATGAGTAAATACAAAAAAAGGTGTATAACTTAAGGCTCAACTACATTAAGTGCCTTTTAACCAGGAACCCAGCAGCAGCGGAGTGTATCTGGAGAAGAGGGAAGGGTACCTGGACAAGAGGGAAGAGTACCTGGACAAGAGGGAAGAGTACCTGGACAAGAGGGAAGGGTACCTGGACAAGAGGGAAGAGTACCTGGACAAGAGGGAAGAGTACCTGGACAAGAGGGAAGAGTACCTGGACAAGAGGGAGAGTGTACCTGGAAAAGAGGAGAGTGTACCTGGAGAAGAGGGGGAGTGTACCTGGAGAAGAAAGTAGTATACCTGGAGAATAGTGTACCTGGAGAAGAAAGAAGTGTACCTGAAGAACGTGGTGTACCTGGAGAAGGAATGTAGCATACCTGAAGAAGAAAGTAGTGTACCTGGAGAAGAAAGTAGTGTACCTGGAGAAGAAAGTAGTGTACCTGGGAGAAAAAAAGCAGTATACCTGGGAGAAAAAAGCAGTGTACCTGAGGAAGAAAGTAGTGTACCTGGAGAAGAAAGTGGTGTACCTGAAGATGAAGTGTACCTGGAGAAGAAAGCAGTGTACCTGGGAGAAAAAAGCAGCATACCCAGAAGAAAAAAAAGCAGTGTACCTGAAGAAAGTAGTGTACCTGAAGAAGAAAGTAGTGTACCTGAAGAAGAAAGTGGTGTACCTGGAGAAGAATGTAGTGTAACTGAAGAAGAAAGTAGTGTACCTGAAGAAGAAAGTAGTGTACCTGGGAGAAAAAAGCAGTATACATGGGAGAAGAAAGCAGTGTACCTGAGGAAAAAAGTAGTGTACCTGGAGAAGAAAGTGGTGTACCTGAAGATGAAGTGTACCTGGAGAAGAAAGCAGTGTACCTGGGAGAAAAAAGCAGCATACCCAGAAGAAAAACGCTGTGTGCCTGAAGGAGAAAGTACTGTACCTGGAGAAGAAAGTAGTTTACCTGAAGAAGAAAGTAGTGTACCTGGAGAAGAAAGCAGTGTGCCTGAAGAAGAAAGTAGCACACCTGGAGAAGAAAGTACTGTAACTGGAGAAGAAAGCAGTGTGCCTGGAGAAGAAAGTAGTGTACCTGGAGAAGAAAGCAGTGTGCCTGAAGAAGAAAGTAGTGTACCTGGAGAAGAAAGCAGTGTGCCTGAAGAAAGTAGTGCACCTGGAGAAGAAAGCAGTGTGCCTGAAGAAAAAAGTAGTGTACCTGGAGAAGAGGGACATTTACCTGGATAAGAAAGAATGGTGGTTGGGACATACCTGTACCGGAGGCAGGTAGCTGATGGGTGGAGGTGCAGGGTCATTTTGGACCACTAATGACGGCTCGCCAGCACTAACCAACAGCGACCTTAAAACATAATAAAAAAGTTAAATGAAAACCTCTTTACTACATATCCTATACTTTTAGTAATATATAATACTGTACTACTACTGATGATAATAATAATAAATGCTAATACATACTACTACTAATAATAATAATGCCATGAACATTAAGACCACACAAATCAAAAACAATGTCAGCCTGTGGTCAACCTTCACTGTACAAATTCTGTGAGGATGTATGTGGATTGTTCTGGAAGGTCAGGAATCTTAATTAAAAGTAAGAAATATTGTAGTCCCCCTGAGCATTTATAACGTATTGCTACATCAATACAAGTTTAGACTACTGGTTTTTAGATCAGTGCTGGACGTGATAATCTTAAGTCTTCCTCTTCACGCAATAGGATATTTTTTTTTTTTAACAACTTAACGAAATTGGGAGAAGTAAATAAATCACTCTGCCACAGTATATTTTTTCACAATTTACTGAAATCGGGAGGAGTAAATATGTCACTTTGTCCGGCTTTTTTTTTTTTTTTTTTGGTTATCCTAGGTAATTTACACTACGTATGATAATTGTACTTATGTGCCTAAATAAACTTACTTATAGTTGTCCAACGTCGTGAAGGACTGACTATTGGAAAGCAGTGGCATATACAGCAGCGACGAAATACATGAAGGATGCTGTCGGGGATCCAAGCTCCTCCAGCCCAGACCAGGCCTCCTAGTGTTTCAAGGCCTGATCAACTAAGCTGTTACGCTGGACTGCATACCAGCTGCACGCAGTCCAACTTGTGAACCACAGCCGAGTGGTCAGGAACTGACCTGAAGAGCTTATCAAGTTTCCTCTTCAGGACAGGAAGTGGCCAGTTGGTAATCTCCATTAATGTATGTTGGGAGACTTGAAAAATCTTCGGCCCCTTACACTTACTGTGTAAACTCTAATATCAACCTTGACCTAAAACGCTTTCTTGATAGTTGTGACAGAACCCACAGGCATAACACCAGACATAAACATCTCTACGACATTCCCCGTGTCCGACTAAACCTTTACAAAAATTCAATGTATGTCAAAGGCCCTAAAATCTGGAATACCCTACCTGAGAACTCTAGAACTGCACATTCATCACCTTCAAAACTACCATTAGAAAACATCTTATCTCCCTGATGCACCCCGTCAACTAACTACACGAATACCACCTGGTGGTTCACACACTCACTCATTTGACCATAAACAGAAATATTAATCTCAATCTTAAAATAATGAATCCTGTGATACTCCAATACTGAAACTATGTACTGTGCCAAAACAAAAGCATTCACATTGCTAAACTCACAAACTAGTATTTAGTCACTTAGCCATAATACTAACTTACCTCATAATTTGTAATATTTTACAATTAAGAATAAAACTAAGTATGCCCGAAATGCCTAGCCATGCTAAGCGTTCTAGTGGTACACTCTGTAATCACAATTTTACTACATGTAAACCAAACAATAACCAAATTTCTGTAAACTCAGCATTGTAATCCTTGTAGAGAATAAACTTTGAATTTTGAATTGAATTTTGAATTTTAACTCTCAGTGTACTCATGGAATCCCTCCTCCTCCCTGCCACTGGTAGTATTTTACATTGTCTAGTATTGTAGTATTGTGTATTGTCTAGCTGTTTGCTTTCATAGGGAATGATTGTGTTTGTGCAGATTTGGGACCAATTCTTCTGGAATTTTCCAGTGTAAATTATGATTGTCACTGAGATGATTTATACTTCTGATATTCCTGGTTACCTGGAGGTTATTCCGGGGATCAACGCCCCCGCGGCCCGGTCCATGACCAGGCCTCCCGATGGATCAGGGTCTGATCAACTAGGCTTTTACTGCTGGTCGCACGCAGTCCAACATACGAGCCACAGCCCGGCTGATCCGGCACTGACTTTAGGTATCTGTCCAGCTCTCTCTTGAAGGCAGCCAGGGGTTTATTGGCAATTCCCCTAATGCTTGATGGGAGGCTGTTGAACAGTTTTGGGCCCCCGGACACTTATGGTGTTTTCCCTTAGTGTACCAATGGCGCCCCTACTTTTTATTGGGGGCATTTTGCATCGCCTGCCCAGTCTTTTACGTTCGTAGGGAGTGATTTTTGTGTGCAGATTTGGGACCATTCCTTCCAGGATTTTCCAAGTGTAGATTATGATATATCTCTCCCTCCTGCGTTCCAACGAGTACAAGTCAAGTGCTTCCAAGCGTTCCCAGTAGTTAAGGTGCTTGACAGAACTTATACGTGCAGTAAAGGATCTCTGTACACTCTCTAGATCTGCGATTTCACCTGCTTTGAATGGAGATGTTAATGTACAGCACGCATAACGGAGATAAAACACCTCAATTACTGGGAGCGCTTGAGGTTCCTAAACCTGTATTCCCTGGAACGCAGGAGGGAGAGATACATGATTATATACACCTGGAAAATCCTAGAGGGACTAGTACCGAACTTGCACTGCACCATCACCCCAATGAAAAGCAGGGGTGTCACTAGCACGTTAAGAGACCATACAATAAGTGTCAGGGGCCCGAGACTGTTCAACTGCCTCCCAGCACACATAAGGGGGATTACCAACAGACCCCTGGCAGTCTTCAAGCTGGCACTGGACAAGCACCTAAAGTCAGTTCCGGATCAGCCGGGCTGTGGCTCGTACGTTGGTTTGCGTGCAGCCAGCAGCAACAGCCTGGTTGATCAGGCTCTGATCCACCAGGAGGCCTGGTCACAGACCGGGCCGCGGGGGCGTTGACCCCCGGAACTCTCTCCAGGTAAACTCCAGGTCTCCAGGTATTCCAGCCTAGAGAGAACAAGTGATTTGAAAAGGATCATCATTGGCTTGGCATCTCTCGTTTTGAAAGTTCTCATTATCCATCTATCATTTTCTTTGCACGTGCGATCGTGGCACTGTTGTGATCCTTGAAAGTGAGATCTTCAGACATTACTACTCCCAGGTCCCTTACATTATTTTTCCGCTCTATTGTATGGCCGGAGTCAGTAGTATACTCTGTTCTAGTTATTATCTCCCCCAGTTTTCCATAACGGAGTAGATGGAAATTGTCCTCATTGATCATATTGTTTACCGTTGCCCACTGGAAAACTTGGTTTATATCTTCTTGGAGGTTAACCGCGTCCTCAGCAGATGACAGCCTCATGCAGATCCTAGTATCATCCGCAAAGGATGATACGGTGCTGTGGTGTATATATCTGTCTATGTCTGATATGAGGATAAGGAATAAGATGGGGGCGAGTACTGTGCCTTGTGGAACAGAGCTCTTCACTATGGCAGCCTCCGATTTTACTCTGTTGACCACTACTCTTTGTGTTCGATTTGTTAGAAAGTTGAAGATCCACTTTCCCAGTTATTCCTTTAGCACGTATTTTATGGGCTATTACACCATGATCGCATTTGTCAAATGCTTTTGCAAAGTCTGTGTATATTACATCTGCATTCTGATTTTCTTCCAGTGCATCCAAGGCCATGTCATAGTGATCAGTAGTTGTGAGAGGCAGGAGCGACCTGCCCTGAACCCATGTTGCCCTGGATTGTGCAGATTTTGGGAATCCAGGTGATTTGCAATCCTGCTTCTTAGCACTCTTTCAAAAATTTTTATGATGTGGGACGTCAGAGCTATTGGTCTATAGTTCTTAGCTAATGCTTTGCTGCCACCTTTATGGGAGTGGGGCTATATCCGGTGTTTTAAGTGACTGTGGAATTTCACCCATGTCCAAGCTCCTCCTCCATAGTGTACTTAGGGCACGCGAGAGGGGTTTCTTGCAGTTCTTAATGAAAACAGAGTTCCACGAGTCTGGGCCCGGGGCTGAGTGGCATAGGCATGTTGTCAATGGCTTTTTCGAAATCTATCGGAGTTAGGGTAATGTCGGAAATCTGGCATACATTTATGGAGTTTTGAGGCTCATTCATGAAGAAATCATTTGGGTCGTCGATCCTCAGACCGATTAGTGGTTCACTAAACACAGAGTCGTACTGGGATTTCAATATTTCACTCATTTCCTTGTTGTCATCTGTGTAAGTCCCATCCTGTCTGAGTAAAGGCCCAATACTAGATGTGGTATTTGCCTTGTTTTTGGCATATGAAAAGAAATATTTTGAATTTCTTTCAATTTCACTAATAGCTTTAAGCTCCTCCTGCCTCTCCTGGTTCCTATAAGAGTCATTTAACTGAAGTTCGATAGTTTCCACTTCCCTGGTGAGCGCCTCCTTTCGTGTATCAGATATTCTAGCACTCCTGAGGAGCTCAGTGACTCTTCGTCGTCTTCTGTAGAGGGAGCGTCTTTCTCTCTCCAGTTTACTCCTGCTCTTCTTAGGGGAATATGCCTAGAACATGCTTCGGCTGCCAGGAAGTTGATCCTTTCAAGGCACTGGTTTGGATCCATGTCATTTAAGACATCTTCCAACATGTTTCGTTTAGGACATGTTTACCTGGTTCCCAGTTGATGGCTTCGTTGTTGTTGAAGTTGTATTTTGTGAAGACACCTTCACAGTACATGCATTCTGTTATCAGGGACCCTATGCATGTACAGTCTGGACTTCGATTAGGTTGTGATTGGAATTAGTTGTTTTGATATTCTTATGTCTCTTATCAGGTCCTCATTATTTGTGAAGATAAGGTCAGTGTGTTTTCTAGTCTGTGGCTCCACTATCTGCTGGCTTAAGGTGTGTTTTTCGCAGACTTAGTAGCTCATGTGTGTGTGACCTTCATCTGCGCTACCTCCGGGGATTGTTTCAGCTATAACATTTATTGCTACATTCTATCCATTTTTTGATATGCCTTAGGTTGAAATCACCAAGCAGTAAGATGTTTGGGGATGGAGCTGGAAGGTTTTCCAAACAGTAATCAATTTTCAGTAGCTGTTCCTTGAACTGTTGTGAGGTTGCATCTGGTGGCTTGTATACAACCACAATGATAGGTTTTGGTTCTCGATCTTTATTGATAGAACTTCAACTACCTCATCTGTGGTGTTCAGCAACTCCGTGCAGATAAGGGACTCTTTGACATACAGGCAACCCCCCCTTGTTGCCTGTTTTTTTTTTGTCGCATCTAAAAAGGTTGTAACCACTTATCCATATTTCACTGTCAAAGTAATCTTTTGTGTGAGTCTCTGTGAAGGCTGCAAACACTGCATTAGACTCCTCTAGAAGTCCACTGATAAAAGGTATTTTGTTGTTGGTGGATGGCTTAAGGCCCTGTATATTAGCAAATATGAACGAGGTTGTATTCTGTGTTTGTTTGATGAGTTTTTCTGTTCCCGGAGCCTGGCCTTGGGCTAGGTTTGTCTGTAGCTTGCCTGGTCAACCAGGTTGTTGCTGCTGGCCGCCCGCTGCCCCATATATTTATAATAGCTTATTATTAATTTTACTATTTGTACAAGCAACTTTGGAAGTTACTTCTTCAATGCATGCGAAAGAAATAGTATGGCTTTCTGCACATGTTTATATTGCAGTTATATATCAGCAGTGAAATTTGAAGTCAATCATAAGACACATTCGCTTCTTAAAACATGGAAATGAAGTCCCAATCTCTTAAGATGCATTCTCCAATTATTGAATGGAAACCGATATAATAAAATTAGAAATTAAAACTTAAACAAGCTTAAATCAATGAGAAGCTTCCTTTGAGGGTTAATACGCCATTGCTAAAAATTTGAAGCTGACTAAAAGACTGAATTCAATTATCCCACAGAACCCATCAATTTCAAGTTTATTCACTATTGTTGAAAATGGTATAAAATACCGACAAGGCCATGTTCTAGGCCTAGAACATGACCTTGTTTTCTTATGTTAGAGCCGCCTCACCTGGTTCCAGGTGTAAGTCCATCCTCGTTCAGCTCTCCTCTGGTGATGACCTCTATGTTGCCCAACTTCTCTGCCCTCACCACCATCACTACCACCAACACCCTCGCCAACGAAACCACACACGACTTCATCCTGTAAATGTCAAATCGGTTGATTTAGGAAGAATAAAAGCTATTACTTCCGTGTCATGTTACGCAAAAAATAAGTAAATGCATGTGATGAAATACTGTACTGTCAGTTGTTCTTTCGTATTTATAAACCTGAGCCTTAATCTTATTCTTTTTCTAGCATTATATAACAAATTTACACTAAAAATACCAACTTGCTACTGTTGTAATCAGTCCGCTCTTACATTACGTAAGTCATAATCACAACGCAAGTAAAACTATTCAAAATCTACATTTAGCTATGAAATCCATGCCCGTAAAACGTTCCATGTCATCGGCCAGAAGTGTGAGCCTATTTAGAAGACACGGGAAATTTTCCCAAGGCCAGTACCCACAGGGTAGTTAGTTGCTTTGGGGATACCCTGAGGGGAGAGCTGCACCCTTCCCAGAGATCCCCCCTTACCCCTGGGTACAAACCACAGTCCCAACCACCGTGTTAAAGTAACCCAGCTTCGTGGGACGGTAGTGTCAATAACAGTACCAGTAACTGAAAAAAAATAATCTATGCCTACTATAAACAACTCATAATCACTGGAACTTGCCTAATTAACAAAACTGTGAGACGAACTCAATACTATAAACAATGAACAACATACAAATAGTTCAATTCCAGTGCAACTTGCTTAACATAATGTTATACCCAGTCCCTGGAACCATCGTGTACTTGGGTCATTGTAACTTCGGCCAAGATGAATATTGGGCACAAAGTTATCAAATCATACCGAATACTGTCTTTAAAATTAAATAATTCTGCCAGGTGATTACGAATATTACAATAGCATTCCTCCATATATTTCAAATTAGTATACTACATTAAATATGATGTGACAAGACGATGCGTTAAACAATAAATCCAAGTTGAGGACACATTTATTTTAATCACGGGGAAGTACTAAGCCCGTTGGGCTCATATAGCGCCTGGGAAATGGGAAGCATGAAGGTTCGAGGCAAGGAAGGGAAGACTAAGACCAGTTCCAGGCACCTCTCTTAGGGGATAAAGTCATGGAGGTATTCTCCCTCCACTGTCATCCTGCCTCTACTTCCAACTCTCTCTAGCCACCACTCATTTCTTACCCAGCGGCAAATGTAACATAATTTTAGCGTGAATTGTATAATTTCCCAAAACTAATACAAAAAAATGTCTACAGATGAGCGAAGCGGTGTGTGTTATAATAGTCGTCCCTGGAGGGTGAGTGTCCTCCAAGATTACAGTGTAGGGTAAGCTTGCTGCCCACTACCTCGAACCACACACCATACATAAAATACTTTATATTAATTCAAACACAACTTAATCGCCATTAACAATACCACTGAAAACAGTCTCTAAATTGTTACTAGACAAATTAATAACTATCAAACCATACACCCTCCTTAGATACATAATATATATGAGACAGGGTTGGCAGCCATGTGTCTGGTCAGAGCATTCGCTGGAAAACCCAATTTTAAGAAAGACCATCTGCTTTCTCTCATTGGTTATTCTTTTTATACTTTATTTTGTCATTTTTAATAACAAAATAAAGTATATTCACTATAATATTCAACAAATGTGTTAAAATGAGCACCACTGGGTTGGTGCGTGTATCAGCTGCAGCACAGGCAATAATGGAAGATAATTTCTCTTCCGCGTCTAGTAACCTCCGTCTTCAGGTGGCATAATGCTGGACTTCTCATTCAAGAAATTTGTGATGCCTTCCCTTTCCCCAGATGAAACCTGATTACATCCCATTCCCCATGTGATGTGTGACCCCTATGTGTTTAGCGTTTCCCCATCATGATAATAATGATAATTCATAACAACCCAGACAACTTGTCTCCTGAATAAAACATGTGACATCTGACAGCCGAAACAGCCAGCTTTCCACAGGAATTTATAGTACGTCTATAAACGTCAACACTTAAGCATTAAACACTGCCCGAAATGTTCTTCATCCTAATGACTTAAATATTCATATAACTTCTTGTTTGCCAAATTCATTTCAAAACTGATGTATTCATACGTAAAAAATATGACAATACGATTCCAATTTGCGTGTGAAAATTCTCGAACTTATCATTAGCATGCGTGATGATCCAAATCTTATTAGCATTCACACTGTTCTCACTCTCACCAATATATTTCAACATGTATATTATAATCAAGGGGAGCGCTAAACCCGTAGGATTATGCAGCGCCTGTGGGGGGGATGTGGAAGGTATTCAGGCTTAATTCAGGAAACTGGAGCACAGATCCAATTCCCTAGATCAAGAGCCCCTCACCAACGGCAAGGAACCTTCCTTGAAGGGTTCAGCATGTATAATAACCAAAAATGTATTCTGCTTCAGTATTCCCCACCGCAAATGTTATACCACATTTTCCCAAAAACTCTTTAAGTAATAAATCATAATTTAAATTCTTATACAAGATGTCAAAGATTCAACCACAGCATTCTAGTTAAGTAACCTAAGTAACTGTTTATCGCTATCACTTTAATTTTAAGGCTGCCCGAAATGCTTTGCATAACAAGTAACTTACATGAAGTAGTTTACACATGTAAGTTAATCTTATGTTAACTGTACACTGTACTGAACTTTATGGAAATAAAGGTGTCCGTGTCATTGACTGGATCCAGCTTTATTAAATTTGACATCTGTGTGGTTGGGGGACGCTTTTAAGTCCATAGTAGTGGTGTGTGTACTCACCTATATGAGGTTGCAGGGATCGATTCACAGCTCCTGGCCCCGCCACTTCTCTAGTCGCTACTAGGTCCACTCTCTCCCAATAAAGATACCCAGATGTTGCACATGTGTCTTACTCTCATCCACTCTCTCCCAGTTGCAAGAGCTTTATCGTATCTCTTATTGCTACATATGGATCCCGCCTCTAATACACTCTCCAGATTGTTCCACTTCCTAACAACCCTAAAGCTGAAGAAATATTTCCTGACATCCCTATGACTCATTTGAGTTTTCAACTTCCAGCTGAGCCCTCTTGTTGTCATTTCCGAAGCATACTGTCCCTGTTCACCTTGTCAGTTCCTCTCAGTACATCGTTATCATGTCCCCCTAGTCCTCCAGTGTTATCAAGGCGAGTTCCCTTAACCTTTCCTCACTGGACATACCCCTTGGCTCCGAGATTAGTCTCGTTACACACTATTTATTGATGTGCTTGATCAGGTGTGGGTTCCATACTGGTGCTACGTACTCCAATCCTCTCGAGGGAGGTTCCCTGAGGCTGGTGAGGGGCTTTTGATCTAAGGAATTGGATTCTGTGCTCCAGTTCCCTGAACTGACCCTGAATACCTTCCATCCCCCCAAAGGTGCTGTATAATCCCTACGGGTTTAGCGCTCCCCACGATTATAATACTAATACGTACTCCAATATGGGTCCTTAGATGCCTTAGTTTAATATCTTTATTATGCACCCCATACCCATCCTGTGGGCGGTAGTCAAAAGATTACAGAGGTACATAATGGGTCCAGGGACTGGGCCTCGAAAAGCTATTCTTAGATTTGTCAGACGCACATTTGCTGCAGCGGTTATTTCGTTAATGTGCGCCTCGGGGGATGTGCTCGGTATGATACTCACCCCTAAGGTCCTTCTCCTTGAGTGAGGTTTGCAGCCTTTGCCCCCGAGCCTGTACTCAGCTTGAGGTCTTCTTCGCCCTTCCCCAAGCTTCGTAACTTTGCACGTGGTGCGGTTAAACTCTAGGAGCCATTTGTCAGACCTGGCCTGTAGCCTGTCTAGCTTCTTTTGTAGTCCTTCCTGGTCCTCGTCAGGTTGCATTTTCTTTATTAGTTTCACGTCGTCTGCAAACATGGATACCTCTGACTCTGCCCGTTCTGTCAAGTCATTCACGCATACAAGAAATAGCTCCAACCCTAGGACTGATCCTTGGGAAACCCCACTCGTCACATACACCCACTCTTGACATCTCGTCACGTACCATCACTCGTTGTTTCTTTCCTGTAGGGTATTCTTGATTCACTGAAGTGCTTTTCCTGTTATTCTTGCTGCTGCTCTAGATTTTGTACCAGTCTTTTGTGTGTTACTGTATCAAAAGCCTTCTGACAGTCAGAACTTTCCATCCCTGAAGCCGTGCTCATTGTCATGTATGAGCCCACTCTTTCTAGGTGCTCCACCACTCTTCTGACAATCTTCTCTATAACTTTACAAATTATGTCAGTCAGTGACACTGGTCTGTGTACTCACCTATTTGTGGTTGCAGAGATAGAGGCATAGCTCCTGGCCCCGCCTCTTTAGTGATCGCTACTGTTACATGATCTTTATCATACCTGTGTGTGTGTGTACTCACCTATTTGTGGCTGCAGGGGTAGAGACTCAGCTCCTGGCCCCGCCTCTTCACTGTGTGTGTGTGCGCGCAGAGAGAGAGAGAGAGAGAGAGAGAGAGAGAGAGAGAGAGAGAGAGAGAGAGAGAGAGAGAGAGAGAGAGAGAGAGAGAGAGAGAAAAGGGGGGATGGGTGAATGGGATTCGTAGGGTGAGGAAGTACGGAGGGGTGTGGTGGGATGGGGTAACCATCGTCCATACATACATTAAGATGCTACCCAGGTCCACATGCCCGCCAGCCCAAGTTCAGGGCCAACACCTGGCAACGCAGGTGTTAGGTGGCAACAACACAGGCAATGGAACGCAACAGTATAGATAATGTGGCAACACTACAGGTAGTATATAAACAGCACAGGCAATGGAAGTCAACATCACAGGTAATGGGGCAACAACACAAGCAATGGAAGCCAAGTAGGGCTACAAACCAAGTATAACCCAAGAAAGCCAAGCAGTGTTGCTTAACACCACTTTAGGGTCCTTAGGTTCTATTCATTAGGATACCACACACATTTGACTAGGTACCTATTTATTATGTGAACGGGGTAGCAGATGTAAGCCTGTTATGTGAACAGAGGGTAGCAGGTGTAAGCCTGTTATGTGAACAGAGGGTAGCAGGTGTAAGCCTGTTATATAAACA